CTTACGTTGTACAACATTCCTCACATGGAAGTTCTAACAAACCGCCTAATTACCACTCACAATGTTCTGTATTTACACTAACAAAATGATCTCTAAACCTTATTTAAACGTTGCAAAAAAGCAAAATTCACTTTCGTTGCCTCTGTTTTCTGTGCATTCTGATCGGCGGCAGAGATCACCGGAACGAGGTTACCGGAGTTATACAATCTTAACGGTTAGACACTTAAATTCACTTGACTCTACTGCTCTTTTCACCTACTTTTGCAGTGCGACAGCCGATCTTATCGCTGAAATCATCCGCTTTATGTAAGCAAAACGAAAACACCGTGTGTCTAATCGATTGCGAAGTTTTCACGACTTTTTTCCAGATTAGTCTTGCGATTTGGAAATTATCGGACACAATGCGCTTAATTACGAATTTAAATTAAATGCAGAGGTTCTTGTACCTAGCGCTTGTTGAACTTGACATGTCTGGTTGTGTGAATGAACATTCACAATTGCCGTTTTTCTGGTTGAATTGTGGCTGTCGAGCGATTATTTTGGCGGTGTTAGCTCCGGGTTGTGTTTTTTTGTTACTTTCGAACTTTCGGCGGGTGTTTGTTTGTTTAAACGGCGAGCCTAAACCTTTCTTTGAGAGAAATTCGAAAATGGTAATTAAAATAGGAGCAGTTTGGGAGGAGGAGTCCGCGCACTTTTTGTTTGTTACGTAAGAAGAAAGTTGGCAATAGCTGAGATTGAGACAAGTGGCTAAATGCAACCAAGTCGAAATTTGTAAAATTTTAATTTCGCGCTGCTGTGGTGAATGACAGCCTTGCAACCGTTGGTGAAGATGTGAGGTTTATTTTGAAAGGCGCAAGTTGTGCTATGGAAAGTTTTCAGTTAAATTGTGTTAGTTCGAAGAGAACTAGGTGTTTTTCAAAAGTGAATGGGCTCAAACTAAGTAACTTTTTTGCACTGTAAAAACGCCATAAAAACATGAACAGCAAAAAGATGCAAGAAATAGTTTCATTTGCTACCGCAATTATTTTTATTATCAAGTGTCAACATTAACTCAAACAGTAATTTTTTTGAAAAATTCTTTCTAAAAAACACGTATTTTTAAAATTATGAAGTTGTTTTATCATTAAACTCGTCTTTTTAAGTTCAGAGTCCTCAAGGGTTTCTAGGAATAAATTCGCGTCAGTGTACGGCACTGAATCTGGTAAGCTCTAGAAATAGTTTAGATACACAAATTTTCTACAAAAGATTTATCACTTTCCATCCCTCGACATCTGTGAAACGTTGGCTTTCGCGGAATCCTGCTTTTCTGTATTTTTTTACTTTTGTTAATCGCTCTTAAAATTTTAACTTTATAGACGACAAAGAAATGGTTCATTAACACCTAGTTGTCAGTGACAAAGTGTTCGTTAACAATTAAATATTTAAATTAATATTTATCATTCCAAGGACTACTATTATTTAGTTTGAGTGTACAATTATTTAAACATTACCGAATAAAATTTTATTATTTAAGAAATAATTAACGAAAATTGTATTTAGTAAAATATTAAGTCTGGATACATGCGTATATAAAATACAATGGCCTTAAATATTTTTGTAAAAATTTTGGAACAGCTGCATTTTATTAAAAAAAAATATGATATTTTCTTATCAAAGTCGTTACGTATTTATCTGTTTTTGTGTATTCAAGTTATCACTATCGTTTTAAATCGTGATTTTGTTGTGCTTGAGATAAAACTTTCAGTTGTATAATAAAGAGAATAAATGTTCAATATTAAAAATGCAAGACTCAAAAATTAAGTTAAAAAAATAAAACATTTTTTTCTAAAATTACTCTATACAGGTGATTCAAAAATGGCACACTAACACGATGATACGTTGTTAAGTACCGTTTATTAAGAGTAGGAACAACAATTTAAAAATCCTTGGGCCCAAATGTAGAAGACACAACTTCAAAGTTCAATTTTTCTTTTAGATATTTGACAATAACTTAAAATTATAACTTTGTAGACAACAAAGAAAGGGTTCATTTACACCCAACTGTAAGTGACAAATGTTCGTTAAACAGTTAAATATTTAAATTATTATTTATCATTTCAAGGACTACTATTGTTTAGTTTAAAATTATTTATACAAACAAATATTACCGAATTAAATTTATTGTTGAATGTGTAAACCACGAAAAATGTATTTTGTAAAATACCGTTTATCAAAATTATACAATGAAGTCAAAGTTTTTTTGTAAATATTTTGAAAAGCTCCATTTTATTTTCAAAAAAATCCATTTTCTTATAAAAATCGTTCCGTCGTTTTAGTATATTCAAATTATCACAATTGTTTTAGACCGTGATTACCAAATTTTTTGTACCTGAGGTAAAACTTGCAGTTGTGTAATAAAGAGAAACATTGTTCTATACTAAAAATTAAATAAACATTTTTTTTTTCTAAAATTACTATATACAGGTGATTCAAAAATGGCACACTCGATGATACGTTGCTAAGGACTACTTAGTGTTGGGTAACTTTCCATACTCAAAATAATTTTGGAAGTATCATGCCTTCATGTCTATAGTGTTTTTCATTTTATAATATTAAAAAAAAAATTAAAAAATGGCTAATTTTTCACTTTTTTCAATTTATCTATCTACATCGTTATTTTGCCTTTTAAGTGAACGTCAAATTGATTTAAGGAATTTTTAATGATTTTTGTCGAATTTAAACTTGTGAACTAAATAATGTACCGTTGAATTAGTGCAAAATTTTTAATCATAGTAACACATATACAGGGTATATGTCTATAGTTTAGTTTTTTTAATTTTTTCAAGTAAAACTTTTTCCAGATATAATAATAACATTTTCACCATAAGTATCAACATTTTGATGTTATTCGTTTAGATCCAAAATCAGACAGAAGTTGATACTTAAAATAAAATGATGACGTCATCATTCGAAAATAAATAGATAATTACTTCACATGAGCGAAAAAAAAATCGTTTAGTAGACCGTCCAATTTATTTTTTAAATAAATAATTATTACTCTTTATTTGACAGTTATTTGACGATAACTGTCAATTTGATTAAGCAACGCGTTGGTATTGTCAACATTAAAAATAAACGTGTAAATTGCACGGCCTACTAGAGGAGTTTTTTTTTATCATGTATATGTTTTAAAAAATAATGTTCATTTCAAGACCGAAAAAGTTTATTATGAAAAAGAAAAATTAAAAAAAAGGTGGCACCAATCTTTTAATCAAGCAGCACATTCGATTGGTGGATTTCGTGGCACCAAATTTAAAATGTAGGGAAAATCAAGTTTTATTGTGCCCAGATGCCCTGTTTTCAGATGTGAAAATGTTAACATTTAACAATCACAGTTGTAATAACATAGGTACCATTTATTAACTACATATTAACAAAAAAATATTAAAACGTATATAATTAAAATGCATTAATAAAAATGTCAGTTATTAGAAAGTGGTGCCCAATTTAAAAGATTAATTGTTGCCAACTTAAATTTGAGTGGGAAAAAATAATACATTTGATTGGTACCACCGAATTAGTGGCTATATTAGGCGTCTAAAACTCTATTGGTTTTAAAAATTGAAAAGTAAGAATTTTAAAAAACACAGAAACCTTCAATAATTGATTATCAGATTTCATACTTATAGTGCAATATAAAATTTTTATGATAAGATAATCAATAATTTTAGTAAAAAAACAAAATAATTCTGGAGACAATGTCAGGTTTCACCGAATTTTAAAAATCAAAAAGGTTCAGTTTATGGAAAGCAAATTAAAAATGAATGCTTTGTTAAATAGTTAATCATGCATTAAAACTTGAACTTGTGATCGCTTGATTAAATTAACACCACTTACATAAAGGTGAACAGAGTGAAGTTTTATTTTTCAAAAATATATACATACAACAAAAGACGTAAAAAATATATCTATGTTAAACAAGAAAAATTTCCTTTCGAAGCAGTAAAAATTTGGAACTTACTACACTTTCCAAAAAAAAAAAAAAAACGAATTATGTAATTTTGAAATTTTGAAATTCACACCTAAGTAATTGTAAGAATGAAGACCACATTTTAACATTTACAATACAAACTATTGAAAAAACCCCAAGATGTGGACGATTTTTACAAATTTTCCATTTAATGTAAGTAAAAGTTGGTTTTTCTGATATTAGCTTGTCGATCATGTGCTATGATAAACTGTAAAATTACTCTACAATCTGTGTTGGCATGCGTGAAATATCTTTTAAAACGTTTTTTTTTACGAAAGTTTCGTATTAAATTACTTTGTTTCGAAAGCCTAGTGTTAATATCGCACTTTATGCAAATTAAGAAATGTACACATATTTTATTTGTAAATACAGTGTCGTTCAGTTTATATTCACAGTGAAAATTCTGAGTTATTTGCCACTTTAAATCTAAGAAATACTCAAGTTTGCACCAAAAACCACAGTGCTAAATAACAGATCCTGTATGACTGGCAAAATGTTAGTGCAAAACCACAAGACTTATTTTTGTTGCTTTCCAAATTTAGCGAGTCATTCAACCTTAGAAATTTGGAAAAATCCTACATTGTCAAAAAAGTATAAATTTTAGTGTTTGGCGAAACGCGTCGACAAATACTTATTTTGTGTGGTTACAATATGAATTTTGGTGTAGTCGTAATGTAAACAACGCTGATTCTATCGTTACCGTAATAGTACCAAAACTGTCTATTACTACTACTAGCCACCGCCACGTGATCTCAAATTCAAAACCCATCAACAAAATCGCTATCTTTGACCCCATCATCGCGTCATCGCCAATTTCTGCCCAAACCCACAACGGTACTCAAACCGCTCCTACACGCTCGATCATCGATCAACGGTACGACTTAGGGGTAGTTCCCTCCGCACTGTCGCCGATCCAGCAAATCCACCATCGCAAACCACTGACCACTGTCATCACTGGCGCACGTCTTTATCCCGGTTCCTTAGCACTCACCTTTCTTCTTCGTTCGTACTCCGACTCCATGGCAGAGACCGCAGAAGAGGATTGTCGCGGCCGCGATCAAAAGGTACCGTTGTGTTCCGTCCATGGTACGAGCAGCACTAACCAACACAACTCCGTCCGTTCTCGCACAATCACTCTTTTGCACTGCCCTATTTTTACCACGGCGCGTTTGCTACGACCGCAAGCGTTCACCCGACTTTTAAAACCTTGTGCTCCACCACTGGGTTTAAAGAGAGCGCCGCTGGTGGCGGGGGTCGAGACGCGTCAAGGTCGCGTCCGGCTGCCCGGAATCCGGATATGCGACGACGTTTCCTCCGGGTGGACACGCGGAGGTGGGTTCCGGACGCTGATGGGACACTTGAGTCTGAAATTTCGAAATTTATTTTTTATTTTGTGAAAAGGAATGAGGTGAGGTTTTCGTTACGGGGTTTCTAGAAATCTTCACGTTTTGAGGTATCACGAGTATTGTGGTTTCTAGTAATTTGTCTGTCAGGTTGTCTACTACAAAAATTGAAACAGTGATATCTGACAGGTGTCACACACGAGCGATGTGTACTAAATTTCAGGCAAAACTTTTTAATTTTCGAATATTTTAAACATCGTGAAAAATTAATAGTTTGTAGAGTTTTATAATATTTTTGTTACAAAAACCGGCGAAAATTTTGTGACTGTCACGCTTGATTTCACAGCGATTTTTAATGGAGTTGATTTCAAAACATTTAATAAAAAAGATAGAACACTAATATCACTATTACTACAAATTATTGATATTTTATTATCATTTATCTACATATTTTTTTACTTGCCTTTGTACCGTAAACTTGTTTTTTTATGAATATATACATACAAAGTTACAACAAAACTGCTGTTTTAGACATTGATTACCTAATTTCTTTATTTTTAGTATTTGTGTTATTTAAATTTCATTTGTAAATTTAAATGTGCAGACGGCTGAATTGTTGTTATTATCTATTATTATTAGCTTACTTTTTAGAATGCTGTTTACTTGTTCTAGAGTTTTCCAAAGTGGTTACACATATCGAAATTTTACCTGATTGGTTTAATTTGGTCCAGAAAGTTAACATTATTACTTCTCGTTTTTCATATATTTCTAACTTCATTAAACTTTTTTTTTATTGTTTTAATAATACATATATTTTAATAATAATTTTAAAACTTATGATATTTCTCGAAAACATAAAGTAAAAAAATCAAAGTTTACCCTATTGCGAATTTTAGTGGATTTTTAGAGAAAATTTGTGAAACTTAGATTGTTTTCAGTGAAGATGTTCCACTGTAACATTTTAAACTCGTAAATAGTGGACATTTGGAAAATGATAAGTAAAAATAAATTTTGATTCTAGAAAACATTGTAGTATGTTTTTTTTTTTACTGAAAAACAGACATAAAATAGATTTATTATTCCCTTTGACGCAAGTAAAAATAATTTTTTATGTTTTGACTCATATTTATCTTTAATAATTAACATAAGGTGAAGCACCATATCTTTACTGACATTGGTGCAAATAATTTTGTCCCCATTTTTTCTTTAAAATACAGCTCCTTTATCGTAATTTTGGCGATAAAATAAATTCGGTTTTTTTTGTCTTCGAGTCTTAGAGAAAATATTGCAAAAATATATTACTAAGTAAACTGGTTTTTAATAATCCACGCCTAGTTTCAACTATCTACTTAGAGGATTAATCTAAAAAATTATAATTTACAATCCAATTTTATAATTTATGTCAGCAATTACGTGACGGACTTTTTGAAGTTGTTAGTAGAAAATCCAGATTTTTGTGGACCATTAAACTGTTTAAAAAAATTGACACATTTATTTTTACCGCTCGTATTATATTTCTAATAAATGTTTGTGTATGTTATTTGAGGTTTCGACAGACGTTTCAATTTAGGTAAAAAATTAGGTAAAAGTAAAAAATGCAGCGTAACGTATCAAGCACAATCACTTTATTTTTCCACAGATTTGTTCCATAAATGCATTCCTTAATTGGTTGGACTACTAGTGGTTATTACTGCTAGTGTAAAAAATGGATTAGCGGTTATGAATGGATGCCTCAAAAGTGCTAATGTTCCCATAAAATAGGTTACAACCCAAATGTAGCACTATCATGGCAATTCATTAGCGCTTTTTGTAAAAGCACCAAATAAATTTTTACTAATTAGCTCTCGGATGCTCTAATGATCGCTAATTATTCTTCTAGATGACACTGTCAGAATCCATTTCTGAAATCTGAATTATTATAAGAGTAAATTTTACCAGATTAGAGCGGTTTCAAATTTGTGGTGACATTTCCCATAATGAAAATTAGGTATAAAATTTTATTTATAGATTTATACAGTCATGATAAAAATTTAGAACAGCAAAACCACAAGCGATTTTGTCGATTAGTTAAGCCTAAATTTTTTATGGCAACCTTGACATTTGTAGGTAGGTTACTAAGTAAATCGATGGTAAATTATTTAGTACTCGACTGAAATGCAGCAAATAAGTGTAAATAAATATCTTAAATTTGATTGCAGCATTTTCGTCCAGTAAAATCATATTTAAAAAAATCATTTTTATGTTACTAGAATGACGTTTTATATGAATAGACTATGAATAAGAGGTCACAATATTTTATTATTGTTGACGACAAGCATTGTTCAGTCTGAATGTCAAGTCGTTATAATTCAGGATTCACAAAATTAAAAATTAATCATGTGCTATTGAGAAAACTTCCATGTTTTTGTAACAATGAAACGAATAACATGTTTATACCTTTAGTTAAAAATATAAAAAGTCCCAGATTATATCTTTGATATTTATTATGTGTCCCTCTGTTATTTAAAGTTTATTAACTTTAAAGATGAATGAGCAAACAGCGTTGTAATTTTTCCGTTGCATAAGCTGTAAGAAATTTAATTTAATTTAATTGTTATAAAATATTTTTCTTCATTTTAATTGTCTAGACCTGTGAAGACAATTCAGTGAAATTCCAGGTTTACTCAAAATTTTCCCTTTCGTTGTTTTCGAACGCCAGAAATTCTCAGAAATCTCTATTTAAAATGTGGCAATATTAGTAAAGATTTAGTTTGTTAGTTTATGTAGTACTTTATTTGGTTTCATGAATAAAGTAAATATTGATAAATAATTCTTCCATAATCTAGAAAAGTCATTCTTAAATAAAAAACAATGACAGTCAATTATGATGTGGATTAATTTAATTTATTTATTTTAGAGAAACTAGGTCTTGTTTATTTTTTAAAGTAACTGCTAAGATTAATGTGCCTTAACTACTTCATTTCTTTTTTTTTTTCTAACAGCTACTGTCCGTTAGGTAGCACGCAATTAATAAAGAGTTTTCGTTGGTTCAACCAGTTTATAAAATATGATTTATTAATTATCACTAAATCATAAATTGTCAACATTAATTTAAAATTTTCAGTTGCCGATTTTTTGTTTTCGTGTAAAAATAGTGTATGATATAGTTGCAAAATAAACTGACATTTCAGCAATTATCATTCGATCTTCTATAAATAAAAAGTGAAAATGCGCTGGTTAGAAAACCTGAGAAAATGTAACAGATGCATTAGTACTCCTCGCCATCCACCAGGTGCCATAATTCACGTCTAGACCGTTGATACCCAATAATAATAGTTAATTTCGAATTTGCCGGAGAAATTGGAAAACACCGGACTAAGCTCTGAACGGAATGCGTATGACTTCACGCACGACTATTTTCAAGATTTCATTAGATATGCGGTTAAAATAACTATTCAGAGAAACCGAGTATATCCAGGTGACGTATATCCACCTTTTTTCAAATCAGACATTCATGTAACGACTACAAGAATGCGCCTCGTGCTTTCAAAATATCTCGTTTCGAGTTCGTACATTTTAATTTTGTGTTGTTGGGAGATAACCGATCGAAATTGGGAGTTTTATTTAAAGATGACAAATTGCGGCGTTTACGAAATCACCAATTAATTTATATTGATGGTATCAACGAAACGTTCTTCACGCCTAACACTAAACTACATTATTAAAAACATTAGCTGGAAGATTATGAAGTAATTTATATTGCTTTCACCCGTTTCTAATGTTAGCGTTTTACGAGCTCGATATAAACATTTTCATTTTGTTTATTGGCCGACGACCTTGCACATTAACAATTAACTGGATGTTAAGTATATGAAGTCGAATTTCCTGCATTACAATAATTATAGTAATTTCATACATACCGTCGTCATAATTCACTTACTCTTCTAACGAAGTGATAGAAATAGGCGGAGAATTGCGTGATTATTATTTTTAAGCAACGCGAATTAAATTAATTAGTGGTGAAAAAAGCTTTCCTGTAGTCGGTGCGATAAAATCGATTGTACAACTGAAAATCTCACCAGGATACGAAAATTATCGCGACCTTATCAAAGTTTGGAAAATAATCACGTGAGGATAATCGTGACTTAATATCGTACGAGATTGTGCATAAAAATTATCATTAATCACGGAGCCATGCAATTTCCGCATTATTATTTAAAACAATAATTAAATAAAAAATAATTCGTTGGAAAAACTAATTTGTTCACTGGGTTAAACTGTTGTACGATTTGCTTAATGCTGTAATTACAAGTCGACCCATTAATAATTACCTATTGACAGATACACGAAAATTTATAGATTTTAGCCTCGTTTTTGCTTTTACTTTTAAAGGACGCTGAAATCCTTCTTGTAAGATTAATTAGTTTTTCCAAATTGTTGATAGCTGCAATTAGTTTTTGCAAAAACGATTAGAAAATAATTGTTATTAACTATGAATGAAGCGTATTCATTGCACTATTTGATATCTTGATCTTGTTGTGTAGTTTAATTGATTTGTAGAGCTTATTACTATTCAGTAAACAAGTTTATTTTCCCAGTAAAAACAGTTGTTAACATAATCTTATCTGAGTGCCATGCACATAGATATTATATGCAAAATTAGTAATAGAGTTGTTCGAGTGGGACATTCATTTCTAAATTTAAACGACTTGTTTCACTTAAATTATGTCAAGTATTGGTAACATATACTTACTTTGAACGAAATTGTCCTTTAACATTTTTTGTTTAAAATAATTATGAGGTTCTAAACATTCATTATAAAATTAATTTTAAATTCTCTATTTAGTTTGCGCAATGGTTTAGACCGGGAATGTAAATTTT